CACACGCCACCAACTGGTCAACGTTGGGAAATAGGCTCGGGCATTTAGGTGTTAAATTGATAGCCGACCAACATCAGATTAAAAAACTGGTTTTGTTTGTTTGGTTAAGTTTATTCTTTAAATACATGTATATTAATGACTCTCTTTATGTTGCAGCCTTTGAGCCGGGTGGTTTTCACATGGAGAGTGAGCAGTTCCTGAGAGCAGTTCCTGTGTTAATTTGACCCCACCACACCCCCTATTAATCCTTCAATAGCAGGAGAGAACAAGTGCATGGCTAGATCACCGTTTACAGATTAATGCTTCATCTCGCTTAATCCCTCTTTAGTGCTTTTGGTCCCAAGTAGGGGGAGGCCAAGACCGTAACCAAGTCCCAAGCTGTGTCCCAAATCCACAACACGTACTACCGCTAATCATTTGGTGTGTCGATGGTGAACAACATTAAGTTTACTCTAACTAGTAACGGTGCATAATGAGAGCGCCAGTGATTGACACTATTCTCCCACAATGCAACGCACAAAGACAATGGAGGAGCTTCCCACACACTGGACGAAATCAGCTAAAGGGACGACGCACAATAGATAAATATTAAATCCTAGAAAATTATAAAATTGTCACCGACAGGACGTCACAATAAAAACATACATTTCTCAACAGGAAGAGCAGTGTGCTTAAGAAGTAAAAGTATTTGTTAACTTAAAAAAATATCCTCTGCGTTGCCTCTTAAAGTCCTGTTGAACAATTTAAGTGCCGGTGTTCCTGTGTCCCTCATTGTGTGTGTGCGAGAGCTCTTACTTGGCCGCCCTTGATGTAATTTATCATTCGGCTGCACCAATATCCCAGTCTCCAGATACCATGTAATATGAGGGATATTTGTGGTTCCTGGGAGGCAAAGAAGATGATAAATCAGTTCATTGCTCCTCGGCTTTACACACAAACAACATTCTGCAGCATCTAAAGTCTTAAAGACTTAAAGACTTAAAAGAACTATTAACCAGTCTCTAAGGACGGCAAATTTCTAACCCCTCCATGAATCAGAACAGTTGTGTCCTTGGGATGGTGTTGAAAAAATATGATCCAATAACTGTAATGGCTAGACTCAACAGCAATTAAATTAAATTAAATTCTAAATGAATTTTTCAACTCACTGCAACATAACAAGAAATTCGCTTAATTTAGTGCGTAAATTAATAAGGTAAACATGAGAATTAGAGCCTCAAATGGAAAATAAATATCTCGGATTTCTGGCTACACATACATGTAACATATTCATTGCAGGATAATGACACGTTTCTATAAGGACAACAGTTGTGTGTTCGAGTAGTGATGTAAATTCAATACATTTACACCTCTAAACGCTTTATTTCCAAAAGCTTTTGTTCTGAAGTTTGTTATGCAGCCACCTCTGACTGAGTTATGAGATTTGTCATCGAGCTGTTATGAAAACACAGAGAACTTAAAAATGCATTTGGTATCAAATGGACAAGAACAGACAGACCAGTTTAAATTGATACTGATTACAGCGACAGGAGTGGTGTGCACCCAGCTCGGATCGCACTAATGGATTTTCCCCCTGCCAGGTGTTTATGTGTTTAACCTGAGAAAATGACTCACAAATGAAACCCTGCCAGTTGCAAAGAGCCCTTCGCGCCGAAGCTCCCCTCTCCACCGCTCGTCAATACGGGCTCCAGTACCAGCAGATCTTCCTGTGACTTAACCAGGTTCCTCCTAATTCATTCCTGATTAAATATAAAAGCTCACTGATTAAACATGATCCGAAGTGCTCCTTCCAGTAGTCTGTCTTGAAGCTCTTGATTAGATTTTCCGTGATAGATTCCCAGCCATGTGGAATAACAGAGGAAAAATGCTGGATTTCCACAAGTCATGAATTGCCTTCTGCCGGGGAGATGGGAATCAGCGTAGCAAGCTAAAATTGATGGAGCGCCTTTTGGTTTTACTCCTGGCCCCTGAGATCACGCCTGATGCCCCGGGCGGTGCTTACGCAGATGCTAAAAGATGGATTACAGGCAAAAAATGAGAGGTGTGAAACGGAAAAAAACGTAACATCAAAGCCATCAATCACGTCGGCCCGATGCTGCTTCTGGTGGCTCTTAAGATTGTTCCACGCACAGTAATTATGGACACAGCCGAATATGAATATGTGGCCTCTATCTTTTTTTTGATCCCCCATTGACGGTGCTTGTGTTGAGTTAATTGAGCTCATATCCCAGGATGCACGATGAGAGGCTGTAACATTAGCGGTTTCCTGCATGCAGCTCATTGGGATGCAAGGGCAGTGCTGGCAGAGTAAACTGCGCCTTGGCAGGGATGCCGAGCGGTGCTGCTGCTGCTGGTGCTGCTGCTGCAGGGACATGACAGCTACAGTCTTCCCAGCCATAAATCCCCCCACACTCCGCAGGGCACACAGCCACACCTGTGTATTAAGTTGAAAGATAGCTAAATTCAATCCGCCCCAGCGTGCCATGACAGTCGGTGAACTTCGTCGGGTGTAAAACACTTGCGCTGTTTCATCAACAGCCCGTTATTTATTATGGGTGACTTTTGGGCGATGGGCGAGTGGGGAGGGGGGGGGTCACTCTCTCAGTCTACACAGAGTCTGAATCCAATTCTGCCACTTCCTTCACTTGTCCCACTCAAAATCAAAGTGTTTTTCTCCTTGGCGAATCCCCGAGCTTTTCTCAGTCAACTGATAGAGGCATGTGATAGAAAATGATGAACGCTGAGCTTGTCTCTTTCTTCAAAATGAAATAATCAATAGCTGACTAATCGTTGGACTGTGCTTAATGTTCACGGCGCCTGTTGATATCAACCCCACTGGCTGCCACGGATCAGGACAGGAGGCAAACAGCATCCTTCAGCTGCTCGCTCCTCTCATTCTGCTCCCCAGCTCAGTGGGATATGACTTTGATTGCCTCCTTGCAATTTAACCGGCAACTGCAAGCTCTCTGTTTTCGCCACATCTCATACAGACCTTTTCTTAGAGCTCAATGGATTGCCTAGCAACCCTTTTCTTCCGTACAGATACCAATCCGTGCATTAGGCAGCTCGTGGTGACCAATATTATTATCATGCAAGAGAGACTCACCGGAAATGTGTACCTTTAGTCACAATGTAGCTATAGATACTCCTCAAGACATATGCAACACAAACCTCAACTAACCTCCACCTCCTTCCGAGTTCCATTAGGCCTTGCATGAATTATGAGAGCGAGTCTGGATAATCCTTCTACAGAAGCAGGAATTCAGCAGTATCCAACAGGTTTCCTCCTTACTCACACAACTTTTTGGGAAATGAATGATGTGCGAACATAATCTGTCACAGCTGCAATGTAGTATCTTTGAATCAGTGTTAAGGCAAATAATGCATCTATGAGAAAACCCTGCTTGCTTCAAGGGTTTTCAATTGTCATCTAAAATGACGCTGAATGTGAATCCAGACACGTTGGACGATGCTTGATGAATAATTGTCCCATTATATGTCACACGCTTGCAACTATAATCCTGAAGTGAGCATGTGTCTGATAAAGTGAGCGGCATTCAGCCTTTAATAGAAGCCACAATTTACATCACCAGCTTAACTACAGCTCTATTTATCATAATTGATTTGTATCTCAACGCTGACTTCGGCATTGAGGGAGATGGATTCTGAAACTATTTAAATAGCAGAAATTGACTTTGCATTATCGTGGCTTTTCAGGTCCCGGCGACGAGAGAAGAGTGGCTGAAACAGCTTCGCTGCTTTGTTTTTCTTTTGTCTTCTTTCCTGTTGAAAGGGGGCTGTGCCTTTCCTTTCACCACAGCTGGTATCAAATGCGCTTTCACTCAAGCATCATCCTGCATTAACCCTGTTTTTTGTACGTCAACATGTCTTTTTCCAATTGCGCCTGGTTGAAGCCGGCATTGTGTACAGTAAATCAGCAGATTCAAGGAAAAGCCTCTGTTGCTTATTGGATTTAGATATTAAAACTTCATCCAATAATGCTGACATCCTCATGTGAATTGTGCATTATTATTTTTCAAATGATGAGGATGTATTTTGATATTAAGATTTTGTTTAGGGGGACTGAACAAAAGTAATTACAGGCTGAGAGGAGGTTAGAAGGAGGAGGAGGGTGTTTGAATTTCTATTTTGATTAGACGTAGGGCGTTGGGGGATTAAATTGTTAAAAAAACGTATTAATTATCTTATCTTATTAACTCATTAGAAGTCCAACGAAGACTTGTGGTGCACAATTAAGCAAAATCTACTAATTTGACACTATTTCATAAGTATGTGTGGTGCGGTGGGTTCAAAGAACATGTCAATGTTTATTTATTTACAAATTAAACTAAGGTTCAGCCCTCCATTATTTTTATTCCCATTATAAAACCATATATGCTGACGGGATGCGTATTTATGCGGTGATTGGCATCTCTTCCATTACAGTTAATTGACCTTTACTCTAAGAAGTTTTAATATTTTAACTGGAGGATTCGGTATACGAGTACTGTGGAAGTTACCCAGTTTTCATTTCGTGATTTTAAAACCAGACAAACACGGAGCAATGAGTCACTGGCTGCGCTACGAAGCCACCGCACCTTTCACTCTGTTAGTCGATTGCATCGTGATCAAGAGACAGGTTAAAAATAAACTAGCAGCATTGTCATAGTGAGCTTGTAGGGTGGCAAAGGTAATCTCAAAGTGTGGGCACAGCAGCAGAATGACTCCCGGGGGAAATCAGGGGCGTTCACAGCTGACACGGACAAACACAGACAGAAACTTATATCGAAATACTTCAAATACACCACAAACTCGTGGGCGAGACAATGCAATAAAAGAAATAAATAAATACGCCGCCACCCGGAGTGCAGCCGAACATGAAAGCGCATACAGCTTTTGCCCTGACAGTTGGAAATGAACCGTTTAGAGTTATACGAAATAAACACTGCAACTTGTGTTGTGTTATGCCAACGGCTCTGCATCCATGAGAGGAATATAGGTTAGATTATGCCAAGGGCAAAAACATCTGGCCCAATTTTATTGGATTTTATCATCATTTAAGTAAACAGTACAGCGATATATGAATCACACAGTTGTTCGGAGAGAAGAGCAGTAAGTACATAAAATGAAGGAGCGTTCCTGACTTCTTTCACCCTTTAGGTTATTGGGCTTTTTTTTATAAGTCTTGTAAATGTAGAGAGCTCTGTTGATGACATCCTCAATCCCACACAAATAACATCACTTGAGGAAATCAATGAAACAGAGATGAGGGATGAGAGGAAATTAAGCAAACATAATATGTGTTACGTCGCCTGCCTTATGTTGACAGCTCCAAAGAGGGACAAAATATTTTGTCTCTGGTTTCCAAAAAACTGCCAACAGATTGTCAGGGAGGCCAATATGTTGTCCAAATAGATAAAATGTCAAGGGGATAACCGAGCATAAAAATCTTTTGGCATTAGCGTGACACTTTTCATTTGTAAATTAAGCCTGTGACAGAGCTGGATATTAATAACTGTCAGTCAGCTACAATAAGGAGCAGCAAGGCCCTGCAGCTGCACAGGCTTCGACGTGGCCCTTTCAAAAATACTATTTGACTGACCCTGTGAATTGAGTTAAGATAACTGTGAACAATTATGCATGTTTTTTTGAGGATTTTTGATCACAGGTTTGACAAACTCCAAATAGAAAGTATCTTGCACTCTTGGGTTTTGTATTCACACAGTTGACGCGCTGTGGGGAGAATTGTATTCTTGATTCGTGGATTCAGTTGAGGAAACAGAACAGCATTAGAAGCATTAGACGAACTATTAGACCTGTTGGTGGAAACGCATGTGAGCACATATGTCTGAATGCTATTCTTCGGCATCTGCCACTCTTCTCCGTGCCGATTCTCTCATCCGACGCTCTTGTGAACACTTGAAGTGAGTGCAGTCTATCAGCGTCGTTAAACTGTTCCGTGTGTGCGGCTACAAAGCAGTTAATCCTCCGGCAGCGTGAATCTGTCATGTCGTCATAAGCACATATATCTTCTGCTCTGACATTTTTTTCTTTTTCAACACCAGGCAGGGCATTTACAAAATGTCTGTTATTGAGGAATCATTGAAAAGTGTGCAGTTCTACACAATCACTGTGTCATTCATTTGTAATAATGGGGTTGGATGACTGCTTTTATAGAATCAGCATTGAAATATTCAGATTACAGCTGTTGCAGGACAAGAGATGGACAAAGGTTTGATAATGATCTTGAAATATGACAGAATATTGTACATCTCTGGACACATTGTGTCCCCTCCCTCACGAGGAAATACAGGGGATATAACATTTCAATAAAAAACAAAATTTAATAAATATATAAACTTTCTACGGACAATTTCATTTATTTTTAAATGTTTAAAAGCATTTAGTTTGATCAATATTGTAAAAAGCCACTCAGCAAAATAGAATGGACCGCTCGGTAAGCCCCAGTTACCGTTATGCCTGTCGAGCTCGCTGTTCCAGCACAGCATCATGAAACCAGGGACAATTTACTTAGCTTGACAGGCCTGCAGCACCTTTTCATGGTTGCTTAACTGTGACCGGACAATTTGTGTTCGGGGTCATTGTTTAACTAACGGTCAATTCCCATCCGACAGACGTTCCAATTATATTACATTTAGCTTTGCCCAGTTTCACGGCACAATACTTGTGTATGAAGAACACAGAGCTGCTGTTTATTAATGCCAGGGATCTTAATTGGGTATCGTTTTGTACACAAGTTTTCCTAGAATCAACATACAAGTCCTCGAGGGACTGAGAGAGAAAGAGTTGAATATATACTTCAGATATAACGGTCACACACACAGTCACAGGAGGAGAGCAAAGCAACGGAAAGTTACCATCAGGGTCTTGATCACCAAGGCGAAAAACTGACACAGAAAAGTATTAATCAGTCTTGCCTGAAGCGCTGTGCTCTTCGGTGTCAGCCACCTACGCAACTGTTTAAATACAGCAGACAGTTGGTCAGTGTAATCGCTCTGATCCTGATGAATAACACTGTTCCCTGGTCATTTACCACAGTATGTTTACCACATATTATAATATAACATCCGTAAAAAGCACACACATGTAGATATATGAGTGCACAATCAGATAATCGGTTGAAGGACACATTTCAAAAATTGAAAACCTTATTAACTATGAGAGTTATTTTAAATGGATTTTGAAAAGTAAATATCCAACCATCCCAGTGCGCCGAGATCTGGTGTTTATTTCGCGTCCGCTTATTTCTCATTAAATTAATAATAACGTGAGCAACATCCCAAAGCATAACAGAAGTCAAAATTAAGCATATCAATTATGCTTACCGCTGGCAAGATAAGTCAGCAGTACATTTTATATGACAATTACTGTTATTTTCAGACTTGTTTCTCTCGTCTTGGGTAATTTAGTTTGAGTGGCTCATTTCTTGAGGTAAAAAAAGGCCACAGGGACGTGAGTTAGCGAGAGAGCTCTGATTGACAGTGTGATCAGAAAAAGCGGCAGAAAATCTTTAAGCTTGGCTGATCTTTCATTTGTTCTGCCACTCAATTGCTTATTATGCTCTGTTAATAGCATTTGGCATTTGATTACTTTACCTGACGCAGCTGAGAGGGGCCCAGAAGAGGAGCAGTAGAGGAAATATGTTTAATAAGATTAACAAATCATTAAATTATTTGCCTTAGTACTCCTCGAGAGGCAGAGCAGAACGTGAAAAGTCGTGGTGCTGCTCGGCCTCCTCGGCTAATTGAGGTCATTGAGGGATCAGGAGGGGTCAGAAGCTCACTCATCAATACTACTGCACTCCTTTATTTCCACAGAAATATATTTGCATTTTCATTACTCTGGATCCCGGCTGCTCTGTCTCCTTGGCCTCTTCACCAGTTCCAGTTCCCTCCCGACATATAACTTTGTGTTCAACTGACCAGTCCATTGATTCTGTGCTGCAGACGTACAGTAGTTTGGACACAGAGCCTCCCGGTGTGTGCAGCTCAGTGGGGGTGGGAGTGGGTCTGGGGGCGAGGCAGCACAGTCTCTGAGGGGACGGGGGGCCATTATGACCGGGCGGTACTTGGCTGGCGGCGGCCCTCCCGGCGCCCGAGTGCGGTGCTCCGTGCCCGGGTTGCGGTGCTCCGTGCCCGGGTTGCGGTGCTCCGTGCCCGGGTTGCGGTGCAGCGACAGGTGGGCTTGGCGGTAGTCCAGAACCGACTGCTCATACCTGCACAACGTCAGAGCGCCCGGCTGCCTCGGTGTCTACACAGGAACAGAGAACGGCAGAAAAGAGGAATGAGAGAAAAGGTCACAGTTAGGCTCTATAAATCAGCCTAAAAAGCCTCTGTTTCAACACTTTGATCTGCTCTCAGAATATTTGAAATTGGCTTAATTTAGTTCACGCGGTTGTGGCAACGCGTCGTCGTTAATGCAGCTTTGGCAGCTGATTCAGTGAACGTGCCCCAAGACATGAAACTCTGTGGTGCTCAAACATCCAGTTCCAACTGGAGTGATTTAAATGCAGGATGAAAGCCTTAAGCGAGAGTGCACACATACTTTTTGCCCTCTTTTAAATGGAGTCAAGGCTCCATTTAGAAGAGGGTGCTTATTACATTAAAACCACTTTGCTGATCCGAAAACCCTTCTTAGTTTTATGTGTTAGCGTGGTCTGAACTATGCCAATCATGTTGAATAAAGCTGCATTATAGCTTGTACATGTTTTATATTTATACCCCAATGTCTATTAATGCTTTAAAAGAAAATATGAATGCACTCGTGTGCTGCATTTTGAAATACACACAGTACAGTGCATGTCAGGTAATGCAGAACGCATGCAGTGATTGGACGATAAAGACATGCACTGCCGTTCAAAAGTTTGGAATGACCCATTTTATTGAGCTGATAGTCATAATCTGTTTCCAATAGTGCTAACAGTAGATCAACTTTCTATTTTCATCGTAATATTTTAAGAATAGCTTTACTAAGCAACACAGTTTTTAATTCCAGCCATTGTAAGCCATTGTTGTGCAGTTGACAGTGAAACAGGAACGTGTTCCCATTTAAATCTGCACCCTCAGACTTCAACACATACTGCGAGAGAGAGAGGGAGAGAGAGAGAGAGAGAGAGAGAGAGACTTTATTCCCTGCTCAGGGAGGCATTACTCCAATATATCATAGCAAATGGTTTCATGTTGGTTTCTAATGCTCTGAATTTTAACAGACCTTTAACCTTCATCTAAGCAATGAAGTTATTCTAAGCAATGACCATTTACCAACACTACATATTCAAATTTACTACGTGCAGTGGAACAAATGAACAAACCTTTACAACAAGTGTTTATTCTGTGTTATATCGCTCGAAATTCTACTATGAACCCGACATGCTGCAGTATTCAGAATGCATGGCAGAAGAATCACTGTATGCATTGTGTGTATAAAATCCATTGTTAAACATGTTAGATCAGATTACTGTATTCAATCATTAAACTCGTTTGATGAAAAAATGACCTTTAGATTAAAATATTCTCTGTATCTGCTTAGGTCTTAAGTTTTAAAGCCAAGATGCTTTAATTTAAGAAGTCATGTTTTCCTGTCATGGAATTATCTTTACAATACAATTCAATACTAATTCAAGAGTTGAACTTTGCACACTACTTCAGAGGCCTTGATAATAAATACAGGAACAACAACCGTCAGAATGCAAAATGAGTTAAGTTGGAAGGGAGTCTGAGTTTTTGTCAAGCGAAAAGACTTATTGTCTCTGGTCATTTGAATAAAGTCGAACATGTTAGAGCACTCTATGCAAGTGGATTCAAACCCTCTCAAAGAAGGTAACACAAGTTGCAATGTGCTCTTCAGTCTGCAGCAGATGCATCAACATCAAGGTTTTCGTGCAACATGTGTAGTAATGCATCAGCCTGGACTTTGGGTCGTTAAAGCTGTGACATCTCTAAGCAAGTTGAGTCTCTACATCCCATATACAAAATAGAATGCATGCAAATTGTTTGGTTCTTCGATATGCACGTACATACACACACACACAGACAGAAATACCAGGTTTTGCCTCCTCCTAAAACACTTTAGTCAGTTGCTGCCTTTTCCGGCACTTTGCTTGAACTGTCACCTGCTGCAGCAGCTTACATAAAGTGCACTCTAACCCTGTTTTCTGTTGCAATCATATTTGTTTAACATGGAGCCTCCGAGCAAGAAATGAAATATCATTTTATTCATGAAATAAAATACAAAAAGGTTTTCTATAAGGATCTTCGGCCGCAGAAGGTGGTTTATGTGAAACTTTGCTTTCTTAAATGTTGTAAATTAAAACTGACGGAAACATTCAAGCTCATGTGACTCACTCATGATCAGCCCTCTAAGGCCCCACTTCACAAAAACGTTTCATTGAATAAATCATTATGTTGGTTGTGCTTCTGACAAAGAGAGACTGAATTTGTAACAATTCAAAAAGCATCATAAATGGGTTTAAATAATAAAACTGTGTTAAGCAGTGGAATGTGAAATAAGTAATTTTACCTAATTACAGCAACAACAACAAATGTCTGGTAAAGAAAAAGTCATGTTTTAGATTTCAAAAACATCCTTCAATTAGTCGTCCAGTTTTAGAACCTCTCCAGTGTTTTTGTGAAAAATTTCAAGCAGTTGTTCTTAATCTCAGTGTCATTCTCTGAATATAACCACGCACCAATTCCTCACAAACAAAACATAAATCTTCAAAACAAAGTCAATTATCTTGATGAGAGCTGATCAAGTTTTGATGCAGTTGAGATTTATTCCATTGGCATTTATGTCGTTTAAAATGTTGGCAGTGAATCTTACGGGTCAAAAAAACATTGCACTTTAACAGTTGTTTGATTCACGGAGGGCACATTCAGCATTGTGCTGTCTCTCCATCAGTGGGATGGCGCTTAAATATTTGCATTTCTGAGGCATGTCTTAGCACGGAAGATAAAATAAAAGCCTTTTTGGCTAACTGAGCTGAGTGAGTATTCAGGTTTAATCAGGGATATTGAGGAAATGTTGGCTGTTATGGTTGGAGCTGCTGGAGAGGTGACTCATTGGCCAGCAGAGCTTGGACAGCCACCAACAGAGCTGCTTAGCACTGAACGTTGCACACAGTGGTATTATGCATGAGGCATGATCACCATCTCTCCTCAACTTTAATGGAGCAGGAAGTCCTTTCCAATCTAGTTGTGTGACACAAAAACAGATAGAGATAAAAACAAATTAAAATCTCTTGATTACAATAGCTTTCCAAGGATAGGCTTGTTTCCTCTTGACAAGTGGAAGTCATTATTCAGTGAGTCACTGGCTACCGGCCAAGGTAATAAAACGGGCGTCTGGCAGCAGCCTGATCTTGTCCTCACTTTGTGTTAACTGTTTAAACCATAGCTCAACCTGTTTAGCCTGAAGGGAATTTAAAGAGAACAGAACATTGGTGAGATTTAGGAAGCCGGGAGGAATAAACTCCAACAGGCCTGAAATCACTGCGATAGTGGGGTTTACAAATGATTCACTAACAATTCCAGTGGCCGGTGTAACACACCAAATACAGTAGCCGTCAAAGGTTTGGACACATTTTCTCGTTCAATTTGATTCGAAAGTGTTTCCAAACTTTTGACTGGTACTTTAATTTTATAATAACAACATTAGTCATTCTTATGCATGCTGTTAGTAAAAAAAAGCAAAAGGCACACAGTGCAAAAAATAGGCACAGGAATGGTTGACATTTTGAAAAATATGCTTATTTGATCTTTTTGCAGTGAGCTAGTTGATAAGATACCTTATGTCTGTTTGGTTAATATCAAGAAAAATACAACGCTGTGCTGTCCAGCTGCTGCTTTGTTACCTTTGAATAAAATCTATTTACCAGTTTCAAGATAGATGGCTGGTGGACAGCTTCATATTTACTGAATGTAACAAGAGTGGTGTCGATCTTCTGCTCCTTTAACATTAAAATAGCGGAGGAGATCTGCACTTACATCAGAATTTTCTGTTACGTAAAACCTTCTCTGTCAAAGTCAGTGTTTTATAACAAAAGGTAAAATTCTTCAAATGAAGCACTCCGCTGGCGGACTCTAAAGCACCGCACCCCACAAGTTTATTCTGGTGACACATCACACAAAATTAATTCAAATTCCCCAGCTATTAACGTTGGATTGTTAATAAAAACCTTCACCTGGGTGGGCCCCTCTAAATGTAGGTCAAGCTGCAGCTAAATGATTCCCAATTAGGTGATAGGCAGCTGCACGATGCCAGCATGGCTCAGAACTGGCACAGGAGGCATGAGCTCTCATTGGCATATTAACAACATCCTCCAGCAGAGTCGTAACGCTGCTCTCTGTCAGCTGGATAAACCACTCAGTGGTCAACATCGAGGCGAGAGAGCACAGACAAGCCTCTATTATCATCGCTGTCTTCTCGCCTACACACACACATGGATGCTGAATGGCATGCTAATGGCCGCAGGACCTTCTTCCCTAATTGTTGTTTAGCATGGATGAATAACAAAAACGGATGAGTTAAATAGACCTTGAGTAAATAAAACTATGCTTTGCTATATCTATCTATATATAGATAGATATCTAGATATACCAAAGCACTGTTTTCTATATATCTTTCTATATATAGATATCTATCTATATCTATAAATATCTATATCTATATCTATATCTATATCTCTATATATATATATATATATATATATATATATATATATATATATATATATATATATATTAGTGAATTGTTAGGAGGCTCGACCTCTGATCCATAATCATTTCTAAATTGAACTCTATTCTTGTATTATCAAAATTAATCTGCAAAGCAACTAGTAACCAAAGCTGCCATATTAATGCAATGGAGCAGAAGCATACATTATTAGTGAAGTGCAAACACTAAAATAATGAACTATAAAAATGTACATAATCACATTTCACCTTTGTTGTGTATTGCATGTGTCCATTATTGTGAATTTTAAACATATGCATAAAAACGTCAGGAGGAATTTGTACTTGCAAAATAAAACATCCTATGACAAATATTACAGAAAGCGCAGACCATTAAGATCCTGCTGCCGATGTTTCAGCAATCAGGAAAGTGACACCCGTCTCAATGAAAAGTACTACACTGTGATAACGCACGTGTTAGAATTCCAAAAAGATCGTCTTACGCTGACTTTAATATTCACCATGTAATTACATTTCTATTTGGAAAGTGCTTAGCATTTGTCAAAATAACCATAATCC